CATTTTAAATTCTTTTATCTATCACAACAACAAGCGTTAAATATTTAAATGACAGCGGAATATGACAATTAAGCGGAAGACTTAAATTAAATAAGCTGAACAATAATGCGGAATTCAACATGTGCCTCTACCCAAGAACTGGTGTCACATCATCCACGGACTACTAAGAGTACTAAATACAATCGTTTGAAAGAAACATAACACTGTTTGTCTCGAAAACATGAGATAACAGAATGAAATATAAGATAGAGGAGACGCCGGGCCTGCGGACGCGTGCAAGGCTACCTCGGAGTCTCGGTGGACTGAAGGCTGGCTCCCGAGCTACTACTGCTGTCCGGGACCTGGATCTGTGCAAAAGAGCACAGAGTGTAGTATCAGCACAACCGACCCCATGTGCTGGTAAGTGCCTAGCCTAACCTCGGCGAGGTAGTGACGAGGCTAGGACCAGACTACCAAATAAACCTGTGCAGTTATATAACGTACAGCGGAAAGTAAAGCAGGAATAAACAAGTAAGGATGGGAGGGGGAAACATGTTGCGGGAGATAACAGTTGAAACAGAATCTCAAGAGAATTATCAGGAAACCAAAATTCAACTTCTAACAAGGATAAGAAAAACAAAGGCAGGTTTCACTCTCGGTTCACAACTCGTTGCAGGCGTGCAACCCGATCCCATTTTATTAAATCTCATGGTAGGCGTACCACCTGCTCCCATTTTATTAAATCTCGTGGTAGGCGTACCACCCGCTCCCATTTCATTAAATCTCGTGGTAGGCGTACCACCTGCTCCCATTTCATTAAATCTCGTGGTAGGCATACCACCCGCTCCCATTTCATTAAATCAACAGTTCTTCCGAATGAAATTTACTCCCACAAACGCAACAATTAATACGAATTCATAAGACAACGAGTACACAATAATTATGACTCACTGAGGAAAACAAGTAATGACAAGTAGCAATTAATTATGGACTTTAAGGAGCAAATAGGCAATTTAATATTTAGTATGCTAAATGTCAAGTAGCAATTAAGTCACATAAACATGTAGCAATTATAGCATAAATTCAAGGCATAATGTTGCGCAAGGATACCTCGAGCCAATAATAACAAGTAACACTATAAAGAAAAATGCCAACATAAAGAATCACAGTAATAATGGAATAAGACAATTAATGTACTTGAACCGATAACAACAAGAAAATCAGTAAATAGAAGTAAAGGACAACATAACTCAATTATCAACAAAAATCAGGAAAATCAAAGACAAGTGCACGACGTCACCCTTCGTGCTTTTACACTCTTCCTCACCCAAACAACAATCATAAACAAGGGAAAGGGAAATAAACAAGAACATATAGGAATCCCGGCAAGGGAACAACGATTTAACAATTAAATTCCGGCAAGGGAACAACAATTAAATAATTCAATCCCGGCAAGGGAACATTTCAATGACTCTTTCTGTATCTTTCACTTGTACTTCGTAACTCACTTTACCACTTGAGCCAATGCTCCAAAGGGTTCAACCATCTCATATACTTTCACAATTCATAATATAACTCGAGTCAATGCTCCAAAATGTTCAAAGGTCTCAATTCCTTCCACAAACTTTTCACAACAACTAGAAATCATCACCAAAACATGAAGAATACGACGAGACCATGAAAATCACAATATAAGACTCACGGTCATACTTGACACCAACGTATAGATACTCGTCACCATGCCTATACGTCGTAATTAACAATTATCACATAGCAAATAGGACTCAACTCCTAATCCCTCAAGCTAAGGTTAGACCAAACACTTACCTCGATGCCTTGAACACAACTCAAGTCTCAATTATAGCTTTACCCCTTGATTCTACCGTCAATTCGCTCGTATCTAATCACAAATTACTTAATTACATAATAAGTGCTAAATGAATCAACCCCAATGCATGAAAATGAGTTTTACAAAGTTTTACCCAAAAAGTCATAAATTGCCCCCGGGCCCACGTTGTCAAAACCCGAGGTTCGAACCAAAACCCGATTACCCATTCCCCTACGAACTCAAATATATAATTTATTTTGAAATCGGACCTCAAATCGAGGTCCAAATACCCAATTTTTGAAAAAACCTAGGTTTACCCAAAACACCCAATTTCCCCCATGAAAATCTGTGATTTTAGGTTGAAATCATGTTAAAAGATGTTAATGATTGAAAGAAATGAGTAAAAACTAACTTACAATTGATTTGGAAGAAGATTGTTCTCGGAAAAATCGCCCAAAGGAGTTGTGTTTTGAAAATGGTGCAAAAATGACTTAAGAATCGGCTAAGTATAGAAAATTGCAGGTCTCTGATATGGAAAATGCGAACAGGGGTTCGCAACGACCTCTGCAGATGTGGGAAATGCGAAACAGGGTTCGCATTTGCGAACCCTTCATAATTTCCCAGCTTTCGCATTTGCGAAAAGGCAGCTCGCATTTGCGAGGAAGAGTGGCCTGGGCTAGCTACGCATTTGCGATCCAGCCTTTGCAATTGCGAGCTCGCAATTGCGAGCCAGGCTTCGCATTTGCGAAGCCTGCAGGCCTGAACACACCAGCAAATTTTTTAAGTTCAAAATGCACCCCGTGGCCTATCCAAAACTCACCCGAGCCCTCGGGGCTCCAAACCAAATATACACACAACCTCAAAAATATCATACGGACTTATTCGTGCAATCAAATTGCCAAAATAACATCATAAACATCGAATTAAACCTCAAAATCCATGAATTCTTTCAAACTTCATAAAACATCAATTTTTCCAATTTAGGTCCGAATCACGTCAAACGACGTCCGTTTTTCATCAAATTTCACAGGAATGACTTAAACCATATATAAGACCTGTACCGGGCGCCGGAACCAAAATACGGCCCCGATACCAACACGTTCTAATCAATTTTCACTTCAAATTTCCTTAAACAATTTCAGAAAATAATTTTACTGAAAAATTCATTTCTCGGGCTTGGGACCTCGGAATTCGATTCCGGGCATAGGCCCAAGTCCCATATTTTCCTACGAACCCTCCGGGACCGTCAAATTACGGGTCCGGGTCCGTTTACCCAAAACGTTGACCAAGGTCAAATTTATTCATTTTTAACATCAAAACTTAGCATTTTTCACAGAATTTCATATTTAAGCTTTCCGGCTACGCGCCCGGACTGCGCATGCAAATCGATGCGACTCTAAATGAGGTTTTTAAGACCTCGGAGACATAGAATTTAATTAAAAACTGGTGATGACCCTTTGGGTCGTCACAATACCCTTGCGCTATAATCAAAAGTATTAATATTACACCAAAATTTTTCTAGAGAAAACAGTTGCTGAGATGTCTGCCCAAAAAGCTTGATTTGCAAACACCAGAAGAACTGTCGTGAAACTAATGCTATCAAAAAGCTCCTTGCTTGCATCCTTCTTTGCCATCGGGTCAGCTACTTTGTTCGTCTCCCTATAGTTGTGATTCACCGCCACGTCTCCTAGTCTTAGGATGATTGACCTGCGTTCAAAAATAATTGCGTCAAATACATAGTCACCTGAGTTAAGCATTCTTATTACCTCAGTAGAGTCTGTGTTGATTTCAAGTGGCGTGAGCTCTCTTTGTTATGCAATCTGCAATCCTTTTAGAATAGCAAAGAGTTCTGCTTGTGTATTTGTGGTGTGTTGCAGGCTTCCCATGAACCTAGGACCCAGTTTCTGAAAACTCCTCCCACGCTTCCCTTACCAGGATTCTCAATATCAGCCCCATCAGTGTTGAGCTTATAATGGTCTTTTGATGGGGTGTCCATTTGACCCAGATGATTTTCTCTTTATGACGAGTTAAAGACGTATTGGATTTGTTTACTATAAGCTGTTATTATTATATTTAAAAAGTACTTCATTTTTTATGTCTTATTTATCCAGTCATTGTTTTTGTGTTATAATATTTTTTAATTTGTTAAGTAAATTAAGAAATTCTAAAATTGTTAGTTAAAATTTATCTGGAGTAGTGAATTGTGAATTTTACTGGTAAAATAATAAAAATTTCAATAATTGATCGGAAATCTTGCATCTTTTACAATCGAATTATAATTAGTTGATTAAACTTACATAGTTGTATTGTTTTACAAAATATGTAACTCATTATAGATAATATATTGCAAGATGTAAATGAAGTCAAACAGGGAACAATTCAGGAGATTATACCCATTGACTTTGAAAATAGATTATTTTGATTTTTTGACCCCCACTTGCCCCAAGGCAAATAAGGTTAAAAATCAAAAGTGTTGCATATGGGCGAGCGAAAGGCAACACGTGTTAAATTTGAATTTATGTCCATGGGGCAAGTGGGGCATAAAAAGATCGCCTACTTCCAAAGCCATTCTTGTAAATCAACCCCGAACGCTTTGTACAATCCAATAGTGGAACTTTCGCGTAGGTGAATTTGAAAGAAGAATTAACCCAAATAGCCGTTTACCCAACCGCTTAAACTAAAAATAGCAAATGGAGGTATAATATATACATAATTTTTATGTATTATATGTGTATAATTATGTATAATCTATGTTTAAACTAGTAAACTTGTAAAGTTGTTGGCGTAGCTGGTAATGTTATTGCCATGTGACCAGGAGGTTATGGGTTCGAGCAGTAAAAACAACGCGGGGTAAATTGCGTACAATAGGCCCTTGTGGTCCGGCCCTTCCCGGACCCCGTGCATAGCGGGAGCTTAGTACACCGGGCTGCCCTTTTAATGTATAAACTATGTATATGTCTAGAAAAAGTAAAGAATGAATATGAATGACTATTTATGTAAAGATCCCATGGGAAAAATAGACTTTCTTGGGCTGGACTTGTCGTTGATTGTGGATGGGCCTGGCCCAAGTTAGAATTTGTCCACCACAGGTCTCACGTTCTTTTTCCAACCGTAATGTGCATTATGTGCAATTTCTTTGTCAGTTTTATCTATGTCACAATGTGTTAATTTTACACACCAATAGGAAGCGATGATCTTTTATTATCCGTAACGATTTTTCATAAGCTTTTGTCCTAATGCAAATAAAACTCTTACCTGATTGAAAAATCCAATCACAGTGTTTACTTCCCACCGAAACATTATCCGCTTAATACTTCAGTTTGAGTATAAAGTACTATCCATTCCTTTAGACAATAGAATTTGATTCAAATTAAACCCCCCAAAATTCGGATCTTTTATCCAATTGAAAAGTGTTATATAATCATCATCCTTTTACCCTATTTGTTTTTCACGTCGACTTTGCTAACCATAGATACAAATAATTAGCTGACACTGTCACAAACAGAGTCTTCTTCCTCCGTCCAAAATTTCAAACTTCCGGCAACCATTCATTGATCCGCCGACGAGATGGTGGTCCCTACTTTCCTGCTTCTACTAATCACTCTTTCACAAGTAATTCTCAATCCGATTGTTTCACTCGCCGATTCAGCTTATCCCTCACCCTATGGCATTGATAGCGCAACTTCCTGTCAATCCACTGGTTCCGATGACCTAATTCCAGTCCGCCGTGAAGTTTACGGAGACGGCCGGATTTTCGATATCACTCACCGATTAACCCCTGATATGCCGTCGTGGGGCTTAGAAGATGGGCTTGGCCAATTCCTGTGGCTACCAAACAGCATGAAGAATGGGTCTCTTGCTAATAACTCCGAGATGAAACTTCCGACTCACACCGGCACTCATATTGATGCTCCTGGTCATGTCTACGATCATTATTTCGATGCCGGCTTTGATATCGACACTCTCGACCTCGAAGTTCTCAACGGTAACTATCAATCTCCATCCCTTTAATTTTTCTCCTCTAATACTTGCATATTACACATAATTAGTACACACTAGTATTAGATTAGGATTTAAGTTATAAATACTAACACCATAAAGAAGTTTTTGCTCCGTTATTTGCAACTATCTTTTTAGTAACTCTATGAGTTAAATTTTTATATTGTTAGCGTATAGAACTTTTAACTTGAAAGGTGCACTGGTATTTCATGCACGAAATTGTGAGTTTATGTTTTTGGAGTCTAGTAACGGTCAATTTGAGGTGGTGGGTTGAAAAAATAATTTATTGATGAGTTACGTGTTTGATGAATTTGGAAAGCGACATTAGGCATGTTACTCTTGGCCACTGTTTCTTTGCAGAGGGCTGTAACGTTTGAAAACTTTGTTTTGTCTTGAGCTCCTTCTGGAGATTGATGTGATGGGTGCAACTTGTACTTTTTATATACTTGTAGGGACCCAATTGTCACAGTATCTTATGAGGCCTCCAAAGTATAATATTGGCCACGATTTACTTACAAGAATAAAAAACTCGTCTTGAAGAGAACTTAATGCTTACTTATCAAAATCTCAATTGGAACTGCTACGTCTACCATAGTGGTGAGTCATAACTTTGAGCTTTCTAATTTCCGTTGCCAAAGTTCATGCCTTTTTTGGAAAGTAAGATGAGGGCTGTGTGTAAGTTGCTAGTATTAGCTGAGTTGCTGGCTGTAAGTACAATATCTGTTGCCTTTTCATCACCTAATGATGCATACCCAATTGGATACGGTGATGAATCGGGTTCTTGTGTTGGATCTAATGATGATTTGAGACCTTTAAGGAGAGAGGTGTATGAAGATGGGCAAATTTTTGATATCACACACCAGTTCAATCCTAATACTCCTGTGGGGGATTCTGATGAGGGAGTTGGACAGTTTCTCACTCTTTTGTCCAGCATGAAGAATGGCTCTGATTACAACTTTTCGGAATTGAGATTAGGTGTTCATGCTGGCACTCATGTTGATGCACCAGGACATATGTATGCTGAATATTATGATGCAGGGTTTGATGTTGATTCCCTTGACCTTAGAGTTCTCAACGGTATTAACCCAGGAAATTCTACCTTCAGCCAGCATTAAGAACTACTAGTTATATGATCACTCTTGTGCTTAAGAAAGATGATCAATCTTGTTCCTAATTTTAATAACTGATGGCTCTGATTAACTCAAAACACGGTAGTGACCGTGAATTTTACTTGCTCTTTCGAATTGATGTGGTATTGGAGTCTGGAGATTTAGGTCTTAAAAAATCAAATCACTGAAAACAGTTGAGACCTGGTCTAAGAATTAGAAATTTAATGAATCAATTCTTTTGAAATCTATTTTCAGTCTTAACTAGTACGTTTTATCCTCGCTCAATAAAGAGATTTTATGACTGTGACTCTAGAGTCTAAGATATTGATATCCTCCCAGATGCCCAAGAGCAGCTGTATATGCCCATTTTGTAACTGGAAAACATTTTGTTACTTATCAAATTAAAAAAGAAAAAGCTAGTAAACATTTTAACCTCGCAGGAAGTCCCGAAATGTAACAAGTCATTACTGAAAAAAGGGGAAAAAGAGAAGAAAAGGGAGTTTAGTATTACTGCTACATATATTAGCTCTTTATGGATGTCAATACATGTAATTGTCTTGGTTCTTCGTCTGATACAGTTATTACTTTAGTGTTTCTTGTTTAACAATGCATATGTATTCAAATTTGATGCATTTTCTCTTGTAATATTTACGTTGATCCATTCATCAGAGGTACATTGACATGATATCGTTTTTTAATGTTTTTCATAGAATAATGGAATTTCCCTGTTGTTGTCTTCTTCATTGGAAGGATACCTCCTACAAAGATCCTTAATGTTTTGTTTTCGCTATGACTGGTTCTGGTTCTTTTAATGGTTGATCATTGATCTAGATTCTTTTTCTTTTTCAGCGTACAGCTTCCTGTCTATTTTTTCTTTTTAAATTTGAATCATCACCTTTTACATACTATCAATTTTTTTTCTTCTTAACAGGCGTGTTTAGTGTTTTATCTTTTTACAGGCAATGTTACCCATTTTCATGCACTAATGATGACGTCCTTCACTTGCTTACAGGTCCCGCATTGGTTGTTGATGTTCCAAGAGACAAGAACTTAACTGGTAAATCTCCCCTCCCCTTTCATGCTAAATGTCTCTAGGATGATAAACTCTCCTATTAATTTTTGGATCAATTTCCAGCTTATTGTCTTACATCATTTGTTTCTCAATTTTCCAGTATATTAATATAATCAGTTGACTAGACATTGTTGAGCTAAAAATCCCTCTGTCTTTACCTTGCATAAAATATGAGATGTGCAACAACTTTGAGGAAGAAATACTCCCTGAAAATCGGGTGGCACAAATGAGCTGTTTGCAAATGTATATTAGCTAACTGTGATAATACTTTTGTTTCTTTTATTCAGCGGATGTTATGCAATCCTTACATATCCCCAAGGGAGTGAAACGAGTACTTTTCAGAACACTAAACACTGACAGGTAACTTGTAGCAGTATCTTAAAACTGTGCTTAAATTGCATGTTTGCTGTAGCTCTCACTGAAATTATGTATTTCTCAGACTTTAGATGTCATAAAAAGCACACTTCTAATAAAAGTAGAAGTGTTCAAAACCAACAAAATTGTAGCAGAATCTGCTCTTAGACTTTGGAGAATGTGCCTCTACAGGGTGTAGATCTTGGATTACTCTTCCAAAATATAAAAATGATAGATGAATTGCAAAACATAATGAAACTTGGAGCACATTCACAATATGTTCACTTGACCCTGGAGAGTGGGAACTATCATGATCAAATTGTTGAAAGGCTAAGCATTTCAAGTAGTATCAATCAAGTATTTCTCTGTGGCTACCAATTGTTGTTTCACACATTTTATTTGAGTTTTAGAAGCCTAACATAATGTAGATGGATTGTACAAAATATATGTCTCTAATTCCTCTAAAACTCTTGCTCTATAAATTTCTTCAAAACCCTGTAAAAGGATAATCAATTAAGGTTTGTCCATGTAGTGGGAAGAATGAGATCTTACTTCAGAAATCTAGTATTTGTCATGGATTCTTTTCTCCCTTACCTGAACAGGCTAGGATTCTTCTTCTTTTCCTCCATCCCCTTCTTGGGGTGCAGGGTGCAGGTGTATGCTGCTTGAGAGCTCTATTTTGACGCACTCATTGTTTATGTAGTTATTGGTCATATTTCAACTAATTGCCAAAGAAAGAAGGCCAATAACGTCAATTTCCCTTAGGGGCAGCTCTTCACCTTATCAAAAAAAAAAATTTCCCTCAGGGGCAACACTTTGCATGGAAATTAAATGACCTGACTTGGATGAACAGTTATAACGTACTCTGTTTCTTGATCAAGCAAACTCAACTTTCAGGCGTCTTATGTGGAAAAAGGCATTTGACACAAGCTATGTCGGATTCATGAAGGATGGAGCACAGTGGCTAGTGGATAACACTGACATCAAACTTGTTGGTAAGATAGGCTGTAGCACATTCATATCTTAAGAATCTTATTGAAGGATGCAAATTCTTTTAGTTTTTCCCTTCTTTTTGGAATTGGTGAATGATTTTGTGGTGTATTGGGTGTTTATGTTAACAGTAGTGGTCAACTATATACAGCACTTTGTGTGCTATTGCACCTTTATGGCCAAAGGGTTCCTCTTTTTCGTTTGGTGCGTCTAAGCTGGATTGACATGGCTACTATCTCCAATTACTACTTCTTTGCTTAGTCCTGACTGGTGTCTACATTTGGTTTCTGCATAAAATCCCAGCTACTCATTATTGCCATCTCTATTATGGCATCAAGAGTAAATAGTTAAAATTCTTTCCTCAGATTGCACTTCCGTGCATGCTCTGTGCTGGAGTAAACTTACCCTTGCTGTAAATATATTTTTTGAGTTACCATAGATGATGATGCATAAATCTCGTCTATACTTTATACACCGTATTTTGTGAGTAAATGGAACATCATGCGGCAATTCATTTAAATGCTTGAACTAGTATCTAATTAATACACATGCATATACATTTGTTTTATCTGCTCTCTGACTAATGTGTCCTATTTGTCTATTATTGGTGGTTAAGTAACTTAGTTATCTTCATCTATGTTTTCTGTTACTGCCTTCTGCTGACAAATCTCATTGGCCATAACCTGGGTATTGTTTTTTCAATTTCTGTGCTCAATTGTGAACTCCCATTTGGATTTGTCCTTATTAGAGGCTTCTTGTTTTACAGCTGAAGTTCAGCTAGAGTAAATGAGCGATAATTTACTTCCTGATTTCCTTCAAGATTATCGACTGATTGAAGAATTCGTAACTGACATTTGTTTCCTTTTTTTCTTTTTCAGGAATTGATTACTTGTCGGTTGCTGCATTTGATGATTTGATTCCTTCCCATCTTGTCTTCCTGAAAAGCAGGGTTAGTAGTCTTATTCGGACTAAATTGAACCTTCATGTTACCTATGATTAGAGTCTGATATTCATCACAAAATAGGGGGGTAGGATGGGCGAGGGGGAGTTAAAAACGTATATAATGAAGATTCTGAGCTTTACTCAAAGTAGTGAATTGCCTAATTCTTTGGCTCGAGTTTGCTGTTTCATTGTTCCATGAGAAAGGTGCTGCATAGTCAAGTTGCTCTCAGCATTAAGGGGACAGGTGACCAACTCCTTGTCAACTTTCAAAAAGTGAAAAAAGAACAGCATAAAGAGATTGCATATTTTGGTTTAAAAGCTCTGCTCTTCTAGATGAGCGATCACATCTTCAATGCTAAGATCAGCTTTTCAACTTTTTCTATCGGAAAACTTGTTGGCCTTACTGACCTGTGGTCGAACTGACAATACCTTGAAGGGCCTAACAACATTATTCAATCTTATTTGCTAATTGGTATGTGATCAGAATTTTGAGATTCCCATTGATTTGGGTTAGATGCTAGTTGGAGCAATCATGGTCTTCTACGCTAGATGAATGAGCTGGATGTCATCTGCAGAGCATCTAGATTATGGTTTTTATTCATTTTCAGTTTAAAGTTTTTAAAGGGTTCTGGATAGTCATGCAATAATGATGAATAACAGTCTTAGCTTCTTCTACCGTGGAACTACAGAATATTTGCATCTTACTCTTCTAGAAGTTATAGAGGGTTGTCAACTATCTGAGTCCATTTTTTAGACTGAAGTGCACTGGCCTTTTCTTCTTTAGCTAAAATTCTCCTTATGAAGAAAAAATATAGAATCGGAGGCAGCGAAACTGAATTTTTGTGTCATTTATGTTTAATCTTTTTCTATATGGGAGCTTCGCCTAATGAAACTGAAAAGATGAAATCTGAATTGGAAAGCTAAAGTGGAAATTAGTTGAACATATATTTTGAAAATTATGTCAAGGTCTGATGGTTGACCCATGACATGATCTTTGTTCTCTAGATAGTGACAGCAAGTTGGATTAATTTTCTTCAGAAAAAAAAAAGATAACTGTTATTGAGCATTATCTCTGTTCCCTTTTGTTGACGCAACTATATAGTATTCAGAGTTAGTGACTTTATTGACCATTTACTTCTTCTGATGCCAGTAATTGTCCTTCCATTCTTATGATGTTTGAAATGCTCCAGGAAATCATTCTCGTTGAAGGGCTGAAGCTGGATGATATAGAAACTGGCATATACAATGTGCACTGTCTGCCCTTAAGGTTGCTTGGTGCTGAGGGATCACCTATTAGATGTATACTGATCAAGTAATACTCTCCTTTGTCTCCTATTCAAACGGTAAGGTGCTTCTGAAACATGTTACCTTATATGCAGTATCTTTTTTCTATGAATTACTTGTTGCCTTGCATCCTGTCTTGTTCAATGGGTAATACATTCTATATGATCTTGGTATTCTTGTTGAATCCATTAGCTAAGTCAACTGCCACATATTCACAGCTGAAATTTTGTTAGTATTTTTTTCTGGTTATTTGTGTGCTGCACCAGTACACCCTCTTCTCATTGTTTGCTTGGATAAATTGCTGCAGGAAGCACTGGAGATAGCATGGAGTAAAATAAATTGCTGTAAAGGGAGACTCGATTTCCAGTGTAGGGGGTGCAACTTTTCACTTTTGACTGTAATGTTATTAGCTTGGTCTGGATATGAGCAAATAACTTTTTCACAGTAGGTTTTAGTTTAATGGATTCACGAGAACGATTAACATATTTACATCAAGTTAGTTTTGTGTTGATTCATCTCGTGCCTATGAAGCTGGTTAATGATAAAGTTCTTGGGTGCTGAAACTGACCTGGATGGACCTTTTTGAACCACTATTTATATTTTGGTCATGTTAAGAAACGTTTTGGGAAAATAGCCCCCGTGCTAAATTTTTAAAGCACGCTCGGCAAAATTTTAAAGCACACAACAATTATAATGATCATCAGGATTTGCCACAAAATTCTGACTCTCACTAGAATTTCAGCAATAATGCTGAAAAATTCTGGTGATTTGTCAAAATTTTGTGGCAAATGCGCTTAAGGGAAATCTTGTCCAGCGTGCTTTAAAGATTTAGCATGAGGCTGTTTTCCTAAAATTGTGTTACCGAGTCAAAAATTTAATAGTGGCACACAAGTATGGGGCATTTGCATCTATACCCGCTTTTTGTGTTACGTTTTAACTTGTGCCCGCTTTGCAAAAAAAATTGCAAGCGTACCCGCTTTTCCGCATAACTTCAGCATACGGGGTTGAAGTAGCAAAGACAATCATGCAAAACTTCAGCATTCTAGTAGCCGGGCCTGAAGTTCAGCTCTTTGTTTTGTAACTGTCGAACTGAAGTCTTCAGCTCTAGAGCTGAAGTTTTTGTGTTGTAACTGGGAAAAGTCTGAGGCAATCACTATTGTTTTTGGTGTTTCGCGGTTGATCAACTAGAAAGAAAAGAGAACTAAATAACTTCAGCTCTAGAGAAGTTTTTGTTTTGTAACTGTCGAACTTCAGCTGAAGTTATTTACTTCTCTTTTCTTTCTAGTGCTTGTGTGTTCCAGTTCTTTTCTTTCTTCTTCAGCTTCTGCTTTTTTGTCTTTCGTTTTGTAATTTTAAACTCCAGTTATTTCTTGCTTGCTGAATTATTAATACTCTTGAATTCAAATTTTATTTTAAACAAGTTCCCTTCTAAACCTACCTGATAAAGATAAAGAATTATCAATATACAAGCGTATTCAGCATAAATTCTTATTATGAGTAGAACAACAACTTCAAAGGTATTATATTACAGAATACAGATGTACATTTAAAGCAAACATAAATTGTTTCAATGTGTGCTGAGCACCAAAAATAAATACGTACTACATAAAAGGTAAAAGTTAGAAGGAGGAGGAGAAACGGAAAGGAGGAGGAGAAAGGGGGCTGAAGTTATTTAAAAAGTGGGTACAAGTTGAAAGTTTTAAAAAAAATAGGTATAAGTTAAATGGGGGCGACCAAATATGGCGCCCCTTACAATTTTTACCACAAATATCTTATTTGTCTCATCCTCCCAAAATGGATTCTGAAAGTAAATGTCAACTGTAACGGGGCCATTTGGTGGGCTCAATTTTGGGTTTCATCAAAGAGCAGATGTTGTAAAACTAAATGTGTCGAATCCACGACCTCAATAGAAATTACCACGGCGTGATCCCCAAAGGGGTGGTCTGGGCACAATGTCCTCATTTTTTACTTGAATACCATTGTTCTTTAATTTTCAAAGTTTGAAATTCTTGTTTGGTAGTGAAAAAGAAAAGTTAATAATTGATTATTGTTAAAATCGTTTGAATGTTGATAATTTGTGCTTAACTTTTAGTCAAACACAGATTTGGTAATTTACTATAAAAATAAGCGGGTCTTTTTGATTTGGTGTTATTCGACTAAATTGGTGAATGGGGATTGTTTGTGTTGGTATTTGGAAGCTTGTTTCAAATTTGAGATCATTTGGAGCATATTTTGGTAGTTTGATCCAAATTAAAGTTGCAAATTTGAGTTAGAATAAGTCAGTAAAAGTATGCCAATCTGGTAGACTTCGATGAATAACTTTACAGATATGTAGAAAAAATATAGCATCAACTCCATCAACTTGGTAGAGAAATCGTAAAGAGCAAAAGTATGATAATCCGGTAGACTTCAATGAACAATTTAATCCGATAAAGAAACCTCTGAAGAGTTGTGTGCTTTCTAAATACCGTCAATTTTGAAGACATTCCGCTAAAACCTGCACCAAAAAATCCCTTTTATATCAATCACCCCGACCTCAATATCCCGCCCAAACCAAGAAAGTGATTTGAGAACTTATAATGTAAACGCCTTATTATGACGAGAAGAGAGAGAGAGAAAAATGCAAACGCCCTAACTCCTCTTCTTTCTATATTGGCCTCTCACAAACAAGTTTGCCATATATAAGTGTTTAACATAATATACAAACTGCCAAACAAGAGAACTTTTGATTTTGGAGAAATTTTAATATGCATAATAAACAAACGATATATATCCACTGGAAGTAAAGGTTAGATGCACCTCCTAGGGCAGGATTGAATAAGGATTTGACTTCTCAAGAGGAGGTTAATTAATTTGAGATTGAGGCACAATTTGCTGATTGAAAATCCTGAAAATGCTTATGAAAGCAAGCACATAACCAATTCATAGAACCAAAATACGTGTTTTCCCTTCATTTTATTTTTCTATAAATAAGTTCTGAGTAAATCATCGTGAATAGCCATAGAAAAGCCCCATAAGCCTTCTATACGTACTAGTTAATCCAAAACATAAAGCAAATTATTTTGGCATGCATTTTGAAAATCCACTCAAATCTTTATCTCCTCTGTATTGGTCTAAATTTGGACGGCCTAATAACTGCATATAAACAGGGTCGAGGGAAGAGTCGACCACTGCACAACGGCGAGGAGTCATCTCAAGGAGGATTATTGCCGAGGTCAAGACAATGTAGCAAGGAAGTAACAGTAGGATAGCTCAGCAATAGATATAAGGAATATTCCTTTGGATATTCCTTATTTTGTACTTTTTAGGGTTTCTTAGGAATATCCCTTATAAATAGGAAGAGATAGAGAACAAAAGGGGGATCCTCACTTCTTGATAAGAGCACTTTGTAAAGAGTTGACTAGAGAGAATATACAAATATTGTCTTGTTCACTGACTACTTTGCTCAACATACATTATTCATTCTTTGTTTGTTAGATCCAAAGATTCCTTATCCATCCTCACTTTTCATCATTCCACGTTGCTGTCAGAAGAAAGAATCACCCAAGTCATCCAACATTTGGGTGATAAATCCCTCCTTATTACATTTATTGCCATCATCTACATTTATTGTATGTTCATGTCATAATATTTATTGATAATCATTGAGAGCATACCCGGTATCCAATATTCTCGAACGTTGTTCATCCCGCTTATATCCTTCAGTATTAGATCTAGAATTTATTATATTTAACTAGGATTCACCCTCTATTTCATCATTAATTAGTTTAACAAAAAGCTTAAAACTTTTTGATCAAACAATTTGGCGCCGTCTGTGGGGAGGTTCTAGTTAAAATTGTAGTTCTTTCTAGATAAAAAAACAACAACAACATCATCCATCTTTTCCTCGTTTGCATGAACTAACAATGGCAGGAAAAGGAGATGAAAGACTGAAAGTAGTAGTAGACGTCACTGCCAACCTCTTGAACACCATCAACGAGGTTGACAGAGAAGGCGAGGAGAACGCGACGCCGAGTGCTACACCCAGGCGGAGCGACTCACCTCCCCCTCATGGAAGTGTAACCGCTTCACGTGAAAGGGGAGCCTCCACATCCACAATTGAGGAAGCACCGCCAGCAATCAAAAAACTACTAGAGACGTGGCTGACAAGCACTCTAAGCGATATACTCGACAAACCCGTTCAACGGGCGAATAGAAATGTCATCCAAGCGGATATCACAGCAACCGCCGACGAGCAACCCACTCCCCCAACAGGTAACACTCACACCGTTGTTGATGCAAGTAACGACGCACTTGCCGCCGTCCTAAAGAAAATGGAAGAAATGGAGAACGAAAATAAAGCGCTCCGCCACCGAATGAAGGAGCATCAAGAAAGGGTTGATAAGATACCGGACGCCCCGAAATTACTACCAAAAAGGGACATCGGCCTGTTTGTCGAACAACCATATGGCGAGGAGGCGGCCCCACATGCCATACCTAAAACTTTCAAGATGCCGCCATATCTGAAGATATATGATGACACGACGGACCCCGAAGATCACATCATTCATTACGTTACAGCAGTAAAGGGCAACAACCTCTCAAAAGAATAAGTACCATCAGTGTTACTGAAGAAGTTTGGTGAGACCTTAATCGCGGGAGCTTTAACCTGGTACTCACAATTACCAGCACGCTCTATAACAACGTTCAAAGAAATGGCCGACAAGTTCGTAACCGCCCACACCGGGGCTAAGAAGGCGGAAGCCAGGGTGAATGATATATTCACCGTTAGGCAATCGCCTGGGAGGGACTCAGGGACATTTTAGCTCTGTTTAACAGAGTAAGAATGATCATACCAAATGTATCAGAAGGGATGGCGGTGGCAGCTTTCCAAAATGGGTTGAACAGGAATGGGTCGAGAGCGACAAGAAAATTGCTGAGCAGGCTCATGAAGTACCCTCCCACCACATGGGAAGAAATTCACAATGCCTACTGCGCCAAGGTGAGAGCAGACGAAGATGACCATAACGGCACAATCCAGCGATTAACATCGGTCCAAACAGAGCCAAGGAAAGACCGTCGTCATGACGGTCGAAGAGACCAGTCAGGTCCACGTCTCAACCGAGACAGGCATCAACCCTATGTCAGAACAGCCATCCCACCATCTCCTCGCCATGCGGAAGGACTGTCCAGGACGCATACAGTGACTCAGCGAAACAAAAAAGGGTATGCCTCCACTCTTATCTGCTCACAATTTTTGTGTTTCCCTTTCAGAAATAGTGTACGCACTAGAGAAGATTGGCCCGAAGGTGAAGTGGCCACAGAAGATGAAGTCCGACCCAAGTACCCGAAAGTCGAACATACTCTGTGAATTTCATCAGGAGCGAGGTCACAAAACTGAGGACTGCATAGCCCTACGACAAGAAGTAATGAACATGCTCCACCAAGGGCACCTAAGGAGCTGATGAGCGACCGAGGAAGAGCCAATTTCGGTCGCGGACGAGAACAACACCAAGGCCTTCCAAAGCCACCCTCTCCCACCCGCACCATTCAAATGATCATCGGTGGAGGCGACAACACAGCA